TCTTCTCTCTCTCTCTCACTCTCTCTCTCTCGCTCGCTCTCTCTCTCTCTCTCTCTCTCTCTCTCTCTCTCTCTCTCTCTCTCTCTCTCTCTCTCTCTCTCTCTCTCTCTCAATTTATCTTTTTTTCTCTCTCTCTCTCTCTCTCTCTCTCTCTCTCTCTCTCTCTCTCTCTCTCTCTCTCTCTCTCTCTCTCTCTCTCTCTCTCTCTCTCTCTCTCTCTCTCTCTCTCTCTCTCTCTCTCTTCTTCTCTCTCTCTCTCTCTCTCTTCTTCTCTCTCAGAGACTGCGGACGAGCAAACATGGCAGCGCCCGGGGCAGCGGCCTGCTGGCTATTGGTGGTGGGCATGGTAGTAGCATTTGTGCCATTGGTGGAAGCATCGGCAACGATTCATTTGCCCGAGTTGGACGAGCGGCCCATTCTGTTTGTGGACGGTGAGGGCGAGCTTTGCTTTTCCTTCGGCGGGCGGGGGCGGGGAGACTGCTGAGCGAGGAGCGCTCGTGTCTAACCCGGGTGAATCGTGCATGTGCTTCAATGATTGCGTAGACTTGCAGAACCTTGTTCACTACGTGGGAGATGATGCGATTGAGTATTTGATGAATATGCTTCCGTCCATTGACACGGGTCTGGTAAGCTGGGACGCGCCATCGGGAAGGGCTTTGAGCACAAGCGCGGTGTGCCTGCTCCGCGCCTCACAGGTCGACTGGGGCTGCTTAGGATCACCATGGCAAGTACACGGGTAATGCAGGCAATGGCGGTGTGGATGCCGGCGAGCTGGCCATTCGTCTCGTGCGCGTTGAGCTTGATCGCCAGTTGGTGCGTTTGCAGCTGAATCGTCTTGAGCCACCACGAACAGAGAGCGGTGCAGACAGCTCACCTGCCCATGTGATCCGCCGGCGCAGATGGATAGCTTTTATCGGCGCGCTGATGCAGACCTGAATCAGGATGACCTGGTTACCTTTGAAGAGCTGATCGAGGTACTTTTTTTTTCTCTCTCTCTCTCTATTTCTTCTCTGGTCATTGTCGCGTGTGTGGGAGCAGAGTGGTATCACGAGCCGTTATTCATACATCTGGGACAGCTTTGTGACTGCCTTTTCCTGACACGACACCACTATCCTTCCTGCTTTGCGCACTATAATTTCTCTAGTCCAACTCCACCTTCGGCTTGGACGTGCCGGTCGTAGCTTCTCGCTTCAATGCCGCCGATGAGGTCAGGTTTGACACATTTTCGCTCCACAGGTGCATGGGGCTTGTGCTTCAAGATGCGCATGTGCTGATGACCAAATGATTGTAGAACAAGGATGGCTGGCTGAGTTTGAATGAGGTTGCCAACTTCTTTTACCCCCAGTCACACCCAATCATGTTCCGTGCACTCGCGAGTGAGGTGCTTGTCGCTCTTGATCAGGTAGGCACGAATGAAGGCATGCTGCACGGGGCTCAAGTTGAAAACCACACACAGGATGAAAACACACACAATCTTTATACCCCACAAGATCAATGTCGCTTTGATCGGCCGTCGGTACGAGTCAAACTCATGCATTGTGCGCGGTGTGGTATCTTGCATTAGGACCACAACTCCAAACTGGACAAGGGCGAAGTGCGCTTGCGTAAGATTCAGGAGCATTTTCCTGGCTACGCAAGCTTTCCCTTTGATCTGGCACACTTGAGCCAGCGCCTCGATGGCGCAATGGATGAGGACGGTTATCTCTCTCTGTCAGAGCTTATGCAGTACGTCACAACATACATGTCCCCATGTCAAAGTGGAGTGGCGACAGACTGGAAAGAAGAACCCTGCACGTGGTCTCGTGCATCTCTCTTGCTCACGATGGTCCTGGCTTATGCGTGCAGCTGGTTCGACGGCGAGTACGATGCGCGCATTGCCCAGCATGTCGCCAAGATTTTTGCACAGGTGGACACGGACCAGGACGGCGAGCTGTCCCCGACGGAGATTCGTGAGCATCATGCTGTTCTCATTGGCGATGCTGAAGCTCGTAAATACGGCGTGTTCAAGCAAGGTCTGGTGCCATTTGCCCGCATCACCTGAGCTCTGGGTCTGTTTCGCGCTGCTTACATAAAACACATGCATCGCAATAGGTCAAGTGGATCTGAGCGAGCAGGAGGCGGAAGAGATTTTCAAGTATGAGGCTCCGGATCCCGAAGACGCCGAGCCCGTTCTTACCGAGGGCCAACGTCAGGTCGAGGAGCTTGTCGCAAAAAAGATGATTCCGCGCGACATGGGGGACCAGCTGCTGCGTGGCGAGCTTCCCAAGGACATTGTCCACGCCCTGCAAGCCGGCACTTACAGTGAGGAAATGCTCGAGCTGCTCGAATTACTGGAAATCGATGTATCCCACCTCCTGACGGACGACGAGGCACCCATGCCTGGACAACATGCGGAGTTGTAAGCGCCCAAATTGACCCATTCCCAGCCACAGCAGCAAACCCATCCGTGCTGCGCCCGAAAATAAATTGAGAAACCGCTTATGTTATTTATTGTCGTTCATATCAAAGTTAATGTACTTGTCTTACATTTCGTATAACCATTATAGCATAAAGAGAAACAAGTTTGTGTATAAATGTTTTTACAAGTTGCAGTTATTTGTCATACTTTTTGACTTGAACGGGACCCGTGAATGATGGCGCGGGATCGACAGCACCGGTACGTCGTCGGTCGGTCGGTGGGGAGGGGAAGACACCGTGTCCGTCTCTGGCGTTGGATGGCTGTGGGTCACTCCTTCGTGCAGCTGGTCGTGAGAACAGGGTGGCTAGCTGGCTGGCTGGCTTCTTCTGTTCGAGTACGTGGGGTTGAGGTGCAGGGAATGTGTGAGCTGATGCGTTTTTGTTTTTTTCTTTTGCCGCTCGCTGCGCAGCCATGTGTGTGTGCTTGTGCTGGGCGACATCGGGCGCAGTCCGCGCATGCAGTATCATGTCCAGTCACTGGCAGAGGTGTACGATTCCGTGAGCATCGTGGCCTATCGTGGTAGGCTGTCTGGTCCAGGCTGCGCGGGCCCTGTTTGTCAACTCTCGCACAAATTTCAGGTAGATCAGACTCACGTCTGACATGAGGGTAGAGAGCAAGCCGCTGGCCGCCATTGTCGAGAACCCCAAGATCAAGATCTATGGCCTGGCCGAAGCTCCCATCTTGCCTTCAAGTACGTATCGCAGACCTGGGCAAAGGGAGGCTGTCGTGGGCTTTTCTCGAGCGCTGACAAGAGCCAGACCAAAACTGACAGATTGACCCCGCCTTGCTCCTGCACAGGTTGGCCGCGATTGGCCTTCTTGCTCTATGCGCCCTTCAAGGCACTTTTTTTGGCGATGCAGTTGCTGTTTACGCTCTTGTTCACCGTCCCAGCCATGGAAGCTATCCTCATGCAGGTAGACGGCGCTGCACCTGTGAACGCGACTTTTGAGGTGTGGACTGGACTTTACTGGCCAGCCTGACGCGCCGTGCGCACGCAACAGAATCCCCCAGCCATTCCCGTGCTGCCTATTGCAGCCGTGGTTAGCCGCTGCCGTGGTGCGCGCCTCGTGGTGGACTGGCACAACTATGGTGCGTCAATACTCGCGCCTGTCATGGAACCAACTGAGAGTCGACTCGGGCTCAGCATGGCCCATGCCTTGGTGTTTTCCCCACGCCGTCTAGGTTACACGATTTTGGCTCTCAAAACGGGAACACGCCATCCTCTTTACAACTTTGCCAAATTGTAAGTTTGTGCGCCGCCTCGTCGCGACAGGCGCCGAGGCATAGACCGTGTGCAGTGGGCGGCCCTTGACTGTTTGTGTTGCATTTTGAAACGAGCAGCGTGGAAACAACATTTGGTCCCTGGGGCCATCGGCACCTCTGCGTAACTCATGCCATGCAACGAGATCTCAAGGACAACTGGAACATTGAGTAAGCTTGGCCCGTTCGCCATCACGTTATGCTGACGCTTGATACATTTCTCTGACGAAGCATGCGTATGCGGTACCGTGCCCTGGCATAGAGCCGCTGTCCTGCACGATCGGCCACCCAGCATTTTTGGACCAGTCACACTAGAGACGACGCACCATCTTCTGAGGAAGCTTCTCGAGGTGCACCTCTGCTCTCTTCAACGCGAATGCCAACTCACAGACCGCTGTTCAGCCATCTCACACACCGTGTGCTGTGCGCTGCGGTGCAGGAGCGCCCCGATCTCAGTCAGCGCTTCGGAATATCTCACAGCGATGATGCTCAAAGTGCTTTAACCACGCGCGAGGGCTCAAAGTGCGTGCCAACTCGCTATGTTGTGGCCCATGCACAGTGTTGACACGCAACTGCTTTGCTGTCCGCCTGGTAGCTACAAGCGGCGTGCCGGACGCCCGGCACTCATTGTCTCCAGCACCAGCTGGACGCCGGACGAGGACTTTGGCATCTTGTTCGAAGCCCTGCAAGGTGTGTCTCAGGCCCCAGTGACTGGCAAGCCGCCCACCGGAACGGCACATGCAGGTGTCTCCTCGGCCACACATGGCAAGGCCATGTTTTATCTAACAACCTGTGTTTTTGTGTGCATGTGCCAGGTTATGAACAGGCTGCGCAGCGTGACTCTTCCCTGCCACACGTACTGTGCATCATCACGGGTAAGGCCTTTTAAAAAGAATGTCCTTGCTGTCACATTTTTGGGGTCCGTCCGTTGGGCTGACCGTGGTGCCTCCCGTTGAGCAGGCAAAGGGCCGGAGCGGGCTCGCTACGAGCAATTGGTGCAAGAGCAGGCCTGGCAAAAAGTGGCAGTGATGACCGTATGGCTGGCACTTGAAGACTATCCCAAGCTCCTGGCGTCGGCAGATTTGGGCATCAGTCTTCACACCTCTTCGTCAGGCTTGGATCTGCCAATGAAGGTGGGCTGATTCGTGCCGTGTTTTCTATCTTTTACTTCATTGTGGGGCTCGCTGTGGGCAATACAAACACCTTTGTGCCGTTGATATGCGTTGCTAGCGGGACGTGCTTTGTTGTTGAGACGCGGACATGGTCTTCTTGAGCCTCTCTGACACCCGACCTGCTGTAGGTGGTGGACATGTTCGGGTCTGGCATCCCTGTCTGCGCCGTCGACTTTCAATGGTATGCCCAGCAGACGAAGATTGGTTGCTTGAAAACCGTGAGAGGCCAAGTGTCCGCATGCTCATGGCGTTTGGTGGACCGTGTTGTGCCCTCGTCAGTCTGTCGGAGCTGGTGGTGCACGATGAAAATGGCGCAGTCTTCAAGAATGCGCAGGAGCTCAGTCAGCAACTTCAAGAGCTGCTTCGCGCACCTGATGCCAACACAAAGTTGGGGCAACTCAAGACCCATGTGCAAGCGTTTCGGCGCCAGGGCTGGTCGGCCAACTGGAACCAGGTGGCTCGCCCCCTGTTCGAATTGGAGTCTTGAGTCCTCGTAGATGATAAACGAGGTGATGGATGATAGGAAGCGCGCGCGCGCGCGCCAGCCAGGTGTTGAAGAATGGGAGATGAAAGATTCAAAACAAAATCGACGCGAATGCCTCAGCACGGTGATGGTGTCACCCTGTGCTCAATTGCGAGGACAGAGCACGATATAGAAACACGCATATATCAAGACGAGTGTGCTGCACCAACGCCCGCAGCAAAGTGAGACAACCGGAATACACAGCGGGCACATAAAGAAAGAGGTGAGATGCATGACGGGAGCAAGGTCCAGCAGAGACATCTGGTTGACCACGCGAATTCATCTCTCAGATATATCGCGAAAAGCAGTGTCATAACTCCACCAGAATGACAAACACGAGGTAACAATGGCGCGTCAACGAACAATACGCACGATAACCAACATGGAGACGATTAGCCTAAAACGTCACGAGAGAAGGGGGAAGCTGAACACGCAATGGCAAGTGGTGTTCAAGAACAAGGTGGGGCTGAATCAAGCCCAAAAGACGGTGAGTCACAAACAAAAAAAAAAGTGTTTAACGAGGCGCCAGCATGACAGCCAGGCCCTTAGTGGTGGGAGAGCCGGCTGCCCAGGGCCTTGACCTTTTCGGCCGCCTTGCTATTGCTGACTTGTTGCAAGAAAGATGAGCCCTGTTCACCAAGAGCCAACCAAGAGCAAGAGCCGTCACCGGGTCAGAAGGCAAGCGGAAAAGTCACACATGGCGAGGAGGAGCCGTCGACGAGGAGCAAGCAGGAAGATGATTTGCCGCACACCGCACCTCGCCCTTGAGGATCTTATCCTGCCCATCAATGTGCACCAGGATCGAGCTGAGGCTGGTATCCAGTACCATGCCACCCATGACAATATCGTCTAGAATATGATGAACCTGGTTTGTGTTGAACATTTCCATTGGAGGTGAGCAGAAGAAAGACAACGGGTTGCAAGCGGCTTGCTGTGGTCGTGTAGAGAAAGGGAGGCTGACCTTGTCGACATGGAAGATAATGTCGAGTTCGCAGACGTTTTCAAAGCGACTATCCAGGGTCTCCACAAACACCTGGATCAGATCAAGGATACCCAGCTCGGATTCGGAGGCATCCACCGCAAAGACAAAGTAGAGCGTGGCGTAGTGACGGTAGATGAGGCGGGTGTCCGATCCACCCAGTAGACTGAGATAAGGGCGGCGAGAATGATGAGATAAGGGCGGCGAGAATGATGAGCGCGGCTGCGGCACAAACAAAGACCAGGCAGTGTGGGCGCATCACCAACCTGCCACCGTCAAGAAAGTTGCAGACGTTGTCGGGGCGCTTGCTGACGAGCTGAAAACACTCGCGCACGATCTGTTGTTGCATCTCCGTGGGCTGAGACAAACAGGCCAGTGTGACGTGAGCCGATCTGTTGCTCTATCGAACGGAACGAGGTGCCAGCAAACGAGTGGTTTGGGCTCACATAGTGCTTGTAGAACTTTGAGAGGCGGGGCTTGCCATGGTGATTGAAGATCAAAATCGACTGGATCATGGTGACGGTGCGCACGACAGCAGAGGGAGGGGCTGCTACGCTTGTTGACAAAGCAAACACAGCAAACGCCACGAGCCAAAACAAGAGTCAAGTCAAGTGAGTCAGCCCATCCGCAACCAGCCATTGCAACAGAAACTTAAATGCACGCGATGATTGGAAATGCAGGCACTGCGCCCTTCTCCCAGTAAACCAGCCGCCAAGCCAGTCGCGCCAAAGAGCGAGAGCGAGAGAGAGGGGGAGAGGCGGTGACGCGCCGCCGTTTCAGATCCGTGCCGTACCCTCAAGTTGCACTGAACCAGGTATAAGCGATAGTGTGACCAAACACACACTATACCGCTACCACAAGTGTGATATCCGTCACAGTACGTCAAAACGTCAGCAAAAGTTATTTTGTATTGATCTGGAGATAAGAAACGGGAGCTGTTGCTATAGGAAAACCAAGGCTCTGGTTCAGATTACCAGCTGTAATGGCCTGCTCCAATCGGTAATCCCATTGTCAGCAAAAAACAGGTGCTTTCTATTCTTCTCTCTTCTCTCCTCTCTCTCTTCTCCCTCTCTCTTCAAAAAAAAAATTCCGAGAGCACAAATCAAAAATCATTTTACTTTGAAGGAGGTTTGCTGCCCTGACTGTGACTGCTCTGTGTGTGTGTGTGTTGTGACGGGCGACCTCTGGACTTGAAGCGCTCGCCACCCGATTTCACATGTCAACTGGTTCATCTCATCTCGACGCGCGCGCGTGTGACTTGGGTTCGGCCAGAGGCTGAGCTTTGTTCTCCTTGGCATTGTCCGCGGGGGGCCTTTCAGGTTCGTGGCGGTGGTTGCGGGCGGTCAAGATCATAGCGACGGCGTTTCCCTCTGTTTGATTTGTTTTGATGTTCAGTGGTGAGCACGTCTCGCTCCAGCGGCAGCGGACCCTCTGATCTGGGTTGCCTCGACGCTTGCTTTGGTGGTACTTGTGGAAAACGCTATTTTGCTGGCTGCCCTTGTAGGTGCACAACCTTGACTCTCCCGACTACCCGCTGCGTGCAGCAATCCCGTCAAGATGGTGGACTCCCTCCCACTCAGCGACGTGGAAAAGGCCGTGTTCCGCTCACTCTACCTCCACGTGCGTTGCCATGGCCCTTGGTCATGACGCCTTTTCTCCTAGCTTTGCTTCGGCGCCTTTTGTCCTGGCTTACTGTCGTGGGATTGCCGTGGGTGCGCAGGTGCGCGACGAGGACGAAGCGGTTGATGCGGGCGATGCCGTGGAATTCCTCCGACTGAGCGGCTTGGATGACGATACACTCCATGACGTACGCCCTCGCATCAGCGCTGCCTCATGAAAGGGATGACCCTTGCCCTAGTGTACAACATCATTCGACGTGGGCTCGACTGCTAGGTCTGGGAGCTCTCGGATAGCGAGGGCCTTGGGCAGCTGGACGAGAAGGTGCGCTTGTTTTCGGAGCCCAGAGCCACCACTGGCTAGCAAGCGGGCAGCTCATTGGCACGGAAGCGCCTGCGTGAGCATCAGCCCAATATGTTCACTTACTCCCTCGCCCACTTCCTTGTAGGCGTTTGGTGTGGCCATGAAGCTCATTGCCCTTGGTCAGGATGGCAAGGAGATCAGCGTGGATGCCCTAGGCACCCCAACCCCGCTGCCCAACTTTGGCGAACGTTTCGCAGACGTCATTCAAGAGGCCGAAAACAAGGTTGCCAAGGCGTCCAAGGGCGCCGTCACGACAGCCGTTGCCCCCGTTCAATCTGTGCGTTCCCGATGCCAATCACCATCTCGTCTATCATCAACCCCCCCCTCTCTCTCTGCTCGTCCGGCTTACGGAATAAATCCGATTTACCTCTCTGCTTGAATAGAATGCCGCAGAGCGTACAGACTGGACCATGACTGTGGAGCAGTTGGTACGCGTTTTGGTCTGCCACCTGATTGCCCATATCAGCTGATCCTGTCAATGCCAACCTCAAACCCGTGGCCTGCCCTCATCCACGCTTTTCATATATTTCCCTTTGTGCCTTGCTCTTTCCTGATACGTGGTTGTTGTGCCTGTTCAGCTGGCATATGACGAGCAGTTTGATAAGGTTGCCAAAGGGGAGGAGGCCGTCCCGGGCGAAATTGCGCGCGACGTATGTGTGGACATACAGGGCTCACTTACGGCACAAGACTATGTAACGCATGGCTCACGCTGGCCTTTGTCATCCACCCGTTGCTGATTGCAGGTCTTGGTACAATCGGGGCTGCCCATGGGCGATCTCGGCGTCATCTGGGAATGCAGCGATGTCGATTGTGATGGCGCGCTCAACCGCAACGAATATGCTATTGCCATGCACATTGTGAGCAAGTGCAAGGCCGGTGCCCGACCTCCCAGCACTTTGCCCGCGGCCATCCAGCTTTCGGCTTTGGATGCCCTCCGCCCGGCACCAGTGGATACCAACGTGCCCTGGGCCATCACGGCGGCAGAAAAGTCAGCCTACGACAAATTCTTCAAGGTTTGCCCCTTGACTATGCCTCTGCCTGCCTTTAGAAGTGCCTGTTTGTGGCCTCTTTTTTTTTTTCTTCTCCCTTTTCCCCCTAATGAAGCAACTATGCCACTTGCCTTTATTTTTTTTCAGAAAGCAGACAAGGAGAACAAGGGCCTGGTCACCGGCAAGCAGGCCACGCCGATCTTCAACAGCAGCAAACTCCCCAAGGCGCAACTGGCCAAAATCTGGGGCTTGTGTGACATTTACTCGTGTGGCTCGCTCAACGCAGAGCAGTTTGCGCTGGCCATGCACCTCATCAGCAGCCGCGTCAAGGTCTGTCCCCGGCTTCAAGGCGTGGCGAGAGTTATGGAAACACCTGATCAACTTGTTCCGTCGACCTCTCCCATCACAGGGCAAGGAGGTGCCTGATCAATTGCCTCTGGAGCTCGTCCCCCCCACTTGCCGCGACAAATCCTTGACCGTGCGTGCTCGACAATCGCAGCCGCGGCAAAAACCCTGTGCTTCCCTGGCGCCTTCTCACTCTCCACTGGGCTGCTGGACCTTTGACTAGATGCCACCAGCCACACCCATGGGCGGTGGCTCGCGGTCTGCAACCAGTAGCACCTCGGCCGCCTCGGGCACAAAATCGCCTCCACCGTCGACTTCCTCGCCCACGGCCTCCAAGGCCAGTTCCAAGCCGGCCTCAAAGCCGGCCTCAAAAAGTGCCTCCAAGCGGAGCAGCACCAGTGGTGCCAACGACGTGCTTGGCGTCAAAGCTGAGGTAAGGCGCGACGCAGCATTGCACGTTTGTGCTTCCGGCAGTGCTGAGGTTTTGCCGTCTCACGGTTAAGCTCTTTGGCCCTGTAGCTGGCTTTGCAAGAAGGCACCAATGCCAAGCTCCGCAGCGAGGTGGCATCAACATCGGCAGAGGTAGAGGCCAAGGTAAGAGTCCTTGATCGTTGGTTGGCGCGTGCGCATCGCAATGGTGCTTGCAGCTGATCTGGCATCGACGGCTCCGGTTGCTCTGACATGTGTCTTAGAGCCAAGAGCTCAAGGCCGCCACGGCCAAGCTGCAGCGATTAAGGCAGGAGGAGGATCAACTTCGCTCCCAGCTCGATACGGGCAAGAACAAGCTGACTGAGCTCATCGATCAGCTCAAAAGCATCAACGCCGACATTGCCAAGGTAACGTAGCGAGTCTGACTGGATATCGTGCAAACCATTTCTCTCGCGACAAGACCGGGGGGTCAATGCCTGAGGCGATCCATGACTTCTTTGCGGTTGATGCGTCTGATAGACGCAGAATACAAACACACGGTTGCAAACCAGCAACCACAAGATTGATAAAGTGTTGCAGCAGTATAGTCAGGCACCGGCTGTGGCTCAGGTAGGCCGGAATGACTTTCTTTTTTTCCCAGCAATGTGGCAGGTGGCGCCGTCTCAATCGTGGGGTGATGCCCGATGCAGAAAACCGTGGCTCAACAGCAGCAGCGTGCCCCAGCCAAGGCCGACCCTTTTGCATCCATGGCAGCTTCGCGGGGCCAGTCCAATGGCACACCCACTGCTTCCCCTGCGGGTCAGGGTGCACGTGCAGCTCCGCGTACAAAGCCGGGTAGCTTCAAGGACCCCTTTGCCTCGGTAAGCCTGCTGTGGTCCAAGCTCCACTTGCTTCTGCCAGTGACCGCACCTCATGCTCACCGATTTGCGTGTGTGTGATCTTGTGCAGACAAACAAAGATCCCTTTGCTGTATCTGGCGCTTCGCCTTGGAAGTAGTGATAGTGGGTCATGTGCATGTGGGCTCGACGCCTCGGCTTTTGTTTTTTAATCGGGTTTTTGGCGCGCTTCTGTGGTTTTTTTTTTTTGAAGTTGTTTGTCAATCCAGCTTCTAGTCCTCAAAGCCCAGATTGAACTCCTCCCTTGCCTTCTCCTTCAAATCCTTCAGATGCAAGACATAAAACTACCATATCGGGCACACACCAGCATTCATGGACTTTTCTCTCTTTTTTTTTTTTTTTTTTGGTTGTTTCGGTTTTTGGGTGTTTTTTCAAAGTGTAACTGCTTTCACATTCGTTCGCACAACACAGCCAGAGGCACGAGTCAAAGAGAGAGAGAGAAACAGAGAGAAATAGAGCGCAACACAGAGAGACGCAAGAGAGAGAGACACACACAGAGAGAGAGAGAGAGAGAGAGAGAGAGAGAGAGACAGAGACAGAGACAGAGACAGAGACAGAGACAGAGACAGAGACAGAGACAGAGACAGAGAGAATTGGTTTGAGAAGAGAGAAGTAAAGAGCAAAGACACAAAGGAGACAGAGAGAGAGCGCGCGCGAGAGCAGTTGACGGCACGAATCGGGTCGCTGCGCTCGTCCTGTTGCCAGTGGCGGTGTTGCGGTGTGCGTGCGTGCGACAGTGGTATCAGTTCTGGAGGATCCGCCTGAAAGAGCAAGATGGGTCAAACTCCTTCCAAGCGCGTCTCGCTCTCTGCTGAGGGAGATGGCATTGGCGTACGTGTCGCTGTCGTGTCGAGCTCGAGCTAAAGGGCGCCCAGCGCTCCCCGCTCATGTGCGATGCAATGTGTGCTGTCCCTTGACTGGCCTGCAGCTCTCTGAACAGCTCCTAGAGGATGTGATTCGCGAGGACTATGGTAAGCAAAGCGCAACCAGTTGCCCTTGACCGAGTGGCGTGTGGGTATGCCGTGGTTGATGACTGTTGGTTCACTTGGACTCGCA